AAATTGTTTTATTTTGGAGTTATAAGAATGGATGACTTCTACATCATCCATTAGCATTGGTTATCCATCAATGTATTTCATTCTTAATTCCTCCATTACTCCCTTTGTAACCCATGTAACATATGTAACTCCCTTTGTAACATATGTAACATATGTAACTCCCATTGTAACTTATGTAACCTATGTAACTCCTATTGTAACCTATGTAACTCCTAAGGCCATTATCTTCACTATTTACTACCTTCATTATCTTCCTATTCATTGCTAGGAAGACTTCTTGTAGTATAAATAGTGGTAGTCTTCATTTGGTTTTGGATACACACAATTCATAAGAGAAAACAAAGAGTGAAAGAGTTTGTCTAAAGAGAGTTCTTATTAGTTGAAGGGAGGTGTTCTTTTTTTTGTGGAGCTTTGGACTCAACTCTTGTCCAGAGTTGTTGAGTTATACTTTGTGAAGATTGTTGTATCCTGCAGGGGACAAGTCAAAGAGGACTACTGCTGGACCGGTGAAAATATTTGCTGCAGTGAGCTTGAATCTTCTTAAAGAGAGCGAGATATCCGCGCCTCAGCCTGAAGAGATTACTTTCTTCATTTTATTTTCAATTGTAATCTTGCAATTTTATTATCTTGTAAGTTTTTTCACTAACAAAAGGTACGCTATCTAATTCTCATTTCTCTTTCAATTTTGAATAGGACTCACGATTCGTTTGGCGTAAGATAGTATAATAATCTCAAAATAAACTGTAGGATTTTTTAGTTTCATGTTTGGTCGAAAATATTAGATAGTCCTTGCACTATTTATCCATTTATCCCTATCATTTTTGGCATAGCGATCGCTGCAAAAAACAAACTTTACTGATCTTACTGGGAATATATATAAAATTTTGATTGTTGAATCTGATTGATCTCCTCTGCTGTTTGGTCGTTTCTTAGTCTACACATTTCCGATTTCCTCAGAATTTTAGCAATTGTATGTTGTACTGTTATCTTCTTTTATTATTGGTGCAATGTTTTCCTGATTTGCTTGCCAATCCATTCTTCCTTTTAATGAAATGACCCTCTAAGCTCTATAAAAATTTTAAAGTATTTGTCTCCAGTATGCAATTGTCAATTATGCTTCTATTACTTAGCTACGTTGTACTGGCAACCATATTTAATGGCTAAGTAAAAATAGTTTAACGACTAATCATGTGACCTCCCCTCTGCGTCCTAGACAAAGTATTGTTGAGGATTCATATTAATTGGTTAGTTTTACATTGACTATTGCATCCCTTCTCTTTTACACGAGCTCCCCTAGGCAGAGTAACACCCCCGTAAACAACGTAAAATCATAACATTTGGAACTCTTTCACCAACACGAATCTTATCATAGAAAAAGTGGATATTTCAGGCCATAGCCCACATTATGTCAATAATGTTTGTAGATATTGTTTCCTATTTCTTCAAGTACATGAGCCATGTGCTTATGTGAAATGGTATCTTATTTTGGCAACTATACATCATGTTGTTCTTGAAACAGGCTGCAAAAATTCTTGCTAATTTAATTGTAATGGGCTCTTCTATATTGGCAAGGGATTTTGTTCAAACATATTGCCAGGCATTGTCCAGTAAGTATCTTTTGAATTAATGTTCCTTTATGTCGAAAAAAATGTATCTGAGTCGTTCTCCTCTGCATCATAAGCATTTTGGGGGCTGTTGGGATGTTTGGTTTGTTTTCTCTTGCTTCCATGCACATCTTACGCACTGTGTACTTACTCTATCCTAATGGCAGATGCCTCGAATAATGGTGTTGCTCAAGAAGCAGTGCAGAATATAAAAAGAGTTAGCAAAACCATGACGGAAGCAGAGGCAAGACAGATTCTTGGTGTCACAGAGGATTCATCAAGGGAAGAAATTGTGCAGGTTTGTTTAAATGTTTGCCGTTATCTTGTGACACCGCTTTTGTCTTCACTGTGACATTAATACGTCGCATCTCATTTTTATTGCAGAAGTATGAGAACTTGTTTGAGCAAAATGCTAAAAAGGGAAGTTTTTACCTTCAACCAAAGGTACATAGAGCTAAAGAGTGTCTGGAAGAAGTTTACAAACCTAAAGAACCAGAAACCAAAAAAGGAAAATTAGACACATCACAGACAACACGACACTCTCCCACCATTTGGTAGTATGAATGTGTACGAAGGGATCAATTTCTTGAGTAGCTTACAAGAAAAGAAGTTGAAAAAACTGGATAAGTCAAATTCATTATTCAAGCTTCTTGTATAATGATGTTTAAGTCACAGCAAAAATGCTATTTATCTAGCATTATTTTGATGTTAAAATATCATGATGCATAAAATCGTTGTAATTTAAAAAGCAAGGCAAATGCCTCTTATATTGTTGGAAATTATATGTATTGTCACGAAGGAGCAAATAGTTTGAAAATACATGTAGTAAATGACAAATTCGTATGAACTCCGATAGTTTATATCAAATAAATAAATGCATGATATGTGTTTAGACATAAGGGTCTTTCGTTTATTTACTTGACTGTTCATACCAAATCAATAAAAACATGATATGTGTTTGTACATAAAATCTTTCGCTTGTCAAATCACTTTATTGTGATAAGTGATATAATTTGATAAAAATAATATCACTAGCATATTTGAGATCCCAACGACTCAATATTTACATCATCCCGTACTTAAATTTCCCTCTCATTTACTTTGCCTTTTTCTTTTTTCCACAAACTAAGAGCCTGTTTGGCTCAGCTTAAAAACTGGTCAAACTGACTTAAAAGCTGATTTTTGACTTATTTAGCTGTTTGACAATACTCAAAATAACTTATTTTAAGTTTTAAAAAACTTATTTTAAGCCAAAAGTTAAAAGCTGGGGTAGGGGTGTTTTTTTTATAGCTTATAAGTTGTTTTAAGTTGACCACATTTTTATCTTTTTGCCCTTAATATTTTTATACAATCTCCAAATTACCCACATAACTCTAACATCTCTTTCTTCCATTTTTTCCTTTTCACGTTTGGCATAGCAACTTCAGCACTTTTATCCAAACGCATAACTGCTTATTTTAAAAATAAGTTTCAGCACTTTAAAAAGTACTTTTTTAAAGCTACTTTTATTAAGTCCATCCAAACGGGCAACACGTGTGGAGATATCTATAATATCTGTCTTTCTTCTCTTTTATTGTTTTATTATCGTTTTTTTTCCTTCTATATATAAGTTTTTATAAGGCGGGACTTTTGCCTTCTTGTCATAACATGATTGCAAAAAAGAAGTAAAAATTCTGAGTTTCATTTAGCATGATTCTCAGGGTCTCACGGGAATGAATGAGAGAAATAAGAGGATTCACACGTTGTCGCGTCTAATATGATTTTTTTTCATTCTCAGGGCTTGAACTCTACACCTCTTATTAAAGGCGGAGGAATTTCAATTATCTCAGCACAACTTAATACTTTTTAGATACATCATGATAATATCTGATATTGATAGGAGATTATTAACCAATTTAAATTACTTTTTCATCCCAACTTGTCAAACTACCTCAAATTGGGAACCTTTATTAAAAAAAAATCATGCAATGATCTGTAAGAATATAGTTATGCCTAAGATTTCAAAGAATTATTGTTCTAAACTATTTTATTTCACTTTCTTTTGAGCACAATAAATATCCCACCTGCGCAATAACATCAAGAAAGAACTAATTGGGATTATCTTCTATCGAAAAATAATAGAATGTGAGATGATTACAATTCCTAGAAATTAATATAGGAATACAACAAAAAGAAAACACTTACAGCTCTACATGATGAACACCCACGAAAAATTTTGTTAGTCTCAGATTTCACATTGGTCTATAGACCTTTACAAAAATCACAGAGCAGCCACCCAGTGCCACCACAAGGCTCACATAAGATTCCTTCCTTAATCTTTCAATTGAAAACAGACGGATAATGATTTTGAAAGCAGCACACCGTTTTAGTATTCAAAAAACGCAAATTTTATAGGCATTAGCTGTTGTTTATCTTGTATTTCAAACATACTTAGAACATCTTTATAAGACAACAAAGTTTAAGAACATTTTCACAATTAGAAAATTAAAACTAGTAGCAAAACTAGAATTAGAAACAGATTTTTTTAAAAA